GTGTGTGTGTGTGTGTGTGTGTACAGGGGGTGGGGGATTGGGGTAACTAGAGGAGGGCCAGGGCCTGTTCACCACTGTGCCTGGTCTATTGCAGGTCTATTGCAAGGCCCTTTTGAATCTCTCCTCAGACCTATGCCTGGCCAGCCATCAAGTCCTCTCAAGTCTTCGGACGTGTGACCTCTGTATTCACCAGCACTGGTGTCCCTCAAGCATGGGTCACATGTGACAAGTTACTCTGTAACTAATCTCTCGGGAGCCATATTCCTCCTATCTCCTGTCCCTCCTGGGCACTCAAACCAAGGCTAAACTGAAAATGACTCTCTTTCTGTGTTCATGTCAGGGCATGGAAAACAGAGCCTGCCTGATAGAAGCCACCTCCTACAGGTAGTTTAGGGATGGCCCCAATTCTTTGCTGCTTCTCCCACTGGGTGAACTGATGTTCAGTTTCCTCCCCCTTCAATCTGAGCCGGACATTGCTTACTCAAAAGACTAAGGTTCAAATAATGGTGTGAGACTTCTCCTGCTGTCATAGGCCACCTCTAACTCCCACCCAAGCCTCTTAGGACACCTTCTCTTGGAGCCATGGGCTACCAAGTAAATCCAACTAATCTAAAGTCACCAAGTTGGGAGAAAACCCAAGCTACATGGGGAAGCAACTTGCAGGGCCTCTGATCAACATGCTAGTTGGTCTTCTAGCTGATAGCCAGCTGCTAGAAGCCACTTTGGAAGTGGATCCTCTAACCCTCAGCCGACACCATGAGTATAATGGATGAACTGTCCAGCTGAGCCCTCCCCAAATTCCTGGCCCACAGAATCTTGAGCAAAATGAAATGGTTGTTTTAAAACTCTTAATTTTGGGGCAGCTTGTTGTATAGCCACAGATAATCAGGACAGTGCTCAAAAATGTTTATAGAATGAGTAAATACTTTCTTTTGCTAGTGTTCTCTAATGATGTCCCTGTCCTATTCAAGAGCTCTCATTGGTTTCCTATGGCTTGAGAAATAAAAGTTTGGTGCTATCACCAGTGTTCAAAACCCTCCCTAATTTGGCTTCATTCTGTGTTTCAGACTTTATTGCTTGCTCTCTTAGGCATGGATCCATCCTATGCTAAAATTTTTTGAGCTATTTCCCAAACACATAAATACTTTCCCAACATTATGCCTTTACTATATATTCTGCCCTTCCCATCCAGAGGCCCTTTCCTCCCCATGCTTATCCATGGGTTGACAGACATTCAACTTGTTCCCGAGATCTTGCTCAGATGGCTTCTCTGGTTTCCCTGTCTAGCAGCAAGTGCTCCTTTCTCTGGCCCAGGTTTGTTCGATGGCTTCACTCTCATTTCATCATTATCCCTTTCTTCATTTCTTACCTCCCCTATTACATTGTAAACTCTCCGGGAGACTGAGGGAGGATGTACTGATAGATAACAGGGTATACAAAAATCGTTGTGTGGCTCTCTGGGTATGAATCCTCAGATAGCCTGAGTTGAAATTAACCAGCTCACTTGTGGCATGGGTGGTGTCTCCCAAACCAGGTGTTCAAGTCTTTGAAGGAAGAACAGTTACAGGTGTCAGCTTGGATTTTGAACCACAATTGTGTGGATGGCTGTGTGGTTTGGGGCAAGATGTTTACATTCTCTGAACCCCAGTTTCCTTAGAGACAAGGGATCTTCAATGAGAATTAGTGTAAAGGGTTGAGCTGGGTGCTTGGCATATATAACAAAGTACACACCTTGCCAATAGGCGACAGAATGGTTGATCAGTTTGGTTTGCTGTGATCTGTTGTTCTGTTGACTGCAGAGAATTCTCTCCCACCCATCAAAATTAAAACACACACACACGAAGAAGAAGAAGAAGAAGAAGAAGAAACAAAGAAAAAGAGAACAGTGAAGGGAAATGGGCCCATAGAGACCACCTACCCTACCTCAACAGCAGTTGAGGGAGGTCTCAGTCTTCTCATTCATGTATTGAGCAGTGGACATTGGAATCTAAGCTCCCCTCCAGCCCCGACATTCCAAGAGCATTAAAGAAAAAGGATGAATCACCCCCTTCAAAATACCAATATGGGCTGGGCACAGCTCAGAGCTCTTAATACACAGCCAGCTTCCTCCTGCAGCTGCCGCCAAATTTCAACCCCCTTTCCCAGGAGTCTCAGAAGCAAGACTGATATTGGGCCCCTGGCTTCCCCATCTCAACAGGGAACCAGATCCCCTTCCCAGACTCTGGGGGACCGGGGGTTCTCCATGGACCAGGGCTGGCTTCCCATGGGCTTTGGGCCTTAGCTCGCCTGTGTATGGAGTGTAGCGGGGTGTTCAAAGGATGGAAGGAAGGAGAGAAGCAAAGACTGGATGAGTGAATTTTCACAACTACAGCAGGAGGGCTAGGGTGGTGGGAGCCTGGCCATTCATTCTTTTCCAGGATTTGAAAAATATTGTGTGTGTGTGTGTCTGTAAGAATTACAAATCTCCATCCCGGGGAGGCATTGTACCACTCCAGCAGCTGTACAAAGTCATAGGCTGTCAAAGCCACAGAGGACATGCAGATCAGTTTCCCTCCTAGCAGACAGGCACTAGATGACAGCAAGAGACAGTTCTCTTGCCTCTGTGCCCAGTGCTGTGTCCTCCTTCCCGCGTGGACGTTACAGTATTATCAGCGTTCATCATAACGGGACGCAACCACCACGTGTGCTTCAGGCACGCGTCCCGGGACCAGCACCTCCTTGGCTTCCTTCTGGCACTGCCTGGATCCTGCTGGGTCTCCTCTTCGTGCCGGGAAGCCATGTCGCCGCGCCTGCCCTTTGGGTCTGTCAGTCCGGGGGTCTGTGGCCCGTCACGTCTGCAGCCTGGCTCCTGACCTGAAAACCGAGAAGCTCTCCGGCTGGCTGCGAGCGGGTTTTCCAAGTGGGCCGAGGCGGGGAGGGAGGAGGGGCGCGGGCGGGCGGGCGGGGAGGAGGAGGGGGCGTCGCGGAGGGAAGACCTGCATTGTAATCCAATGACATTGCCAGCGTGGGGGTGGGGGCGCTGGCCTCGGCGCGCTCTCCGAGTTTTGGCTGCCCGCCCAGCTGGGAATAACTCTCTTCGCATAATTCGCGTGTTTACCAGGCATGAAAATTCTTGCTTTCGGCTCCCCCCACCCCACTTCTTCCCCGAGCCCCCTCCTCTTCCCTCCTCCCACCTCCTCCGCCCCTCGCAAGTGAAACTCTGTCTAAAAAAATATTGGCCTCAGGGCGCAAAAAGTTTTGCATAAATTCATAAGTGATGAATGGCTGATTTTAACGTTATTTGGGTATTTGTCAGAACTTAACAAATATACATGGGGACGGCGGTTCATAAACTTAAAACATCTCAATATCCCCTTTCTTCTGGAAATAAATTACGTTTGTTTGCCCGGCTTGGAGTCTTAAGGTAGCCGACATTAAGAATATTTTAAAAGCCATCATCCATCGAGCATGTCTCCCAGGCGCCAGTAAGATTAAATGAAAGAATCATAAGATGGAGGTCTTTAACTTTTAATCCTTTTACAATGAAGCCTCAGATAGTCGCGGGGGCAGGGTGCCCTCTCTGGGGGGAATAATGCCGTTATTCCTCGGCTCTCAGTTAATGAATACCCTAGCGTCTGTCCCACGGCGGACGCAGCAGCGCGGGGAGGGGGCTCGGCTCCGGGGCCAGGCTATTGAAACGCGGAGCCGCCGGGGCTGGTCGGGAGGGAAGAAAGCGCCGGGCTGGAGGGACCGGGCGGGCGGGGCCGGGGGCGCAGCGACCGCGCTGGGCACCCGGCACAGGTTTGAAATAATGAGCATGGATTCGCCGGGACTCCGGACTCGGTGGCGGGGAGCGCGGGGAGGAGGCGGGGTGGTGCAAGGAGAGGAGGTGGCAGGGTGGTGAGGAGGGAGCAAAGGAGAGCGACTTTGGAGTCCAAGATAAATAAAGGGAGCGGGGAGCGGTGTCAGGAAGCCGGCCCACGTGGAGCTCCGCGGATGGGCGCCACCGCCGGGAATTGGGGCGGAGGGACGCGCGCGAGCCCAGCGCGGTCCCACGAAGCTGGCTTGGGAAGGGGTGGGATGATCTTTCCGGACCCTCGAAGGGATCACGCTAAGCCCTTGGTCTCACCCGAAAGCTCAAAAATTCCCATCCGAATTGTCCTCCCTGCCCACCTACCACCAAGTGGTGTACGTGCCCAGAGAGGGGTGGGGCAAGGGGTAGGGGTACCCCCTTCCCAACTGCATATCTCAAAGGTGGTGATTTGCATGCAAATCAAGACCCCATGGAAACCTGGTACCTCAGAGTCTTTCTGAGGGTAGGGGAGGCCAAGGTGAGTGTCACATCTCCCAGTTATTCCTCGCAGCTGCGGCCCCGGGCCTAGGATTTGGGGGCTTGACCTGCAAGATCCCAAAGGCTCTGGGCGATTGATTCCCAGGGATCGCCTCAATCTCACCGCTCTAGCTTCCGGGAGTGCAAAGGGTTAACAGGGGCTAAATAATGAGGTGGGGGGTGCAAGGCGGGAGGGGTGGTGGGATCTGGGTGGGCTCCCTCTGATCTCCCTCCTCCCCATTCCTCGGGGGTCAAGTTTCAGCGGCACTCCGCCCCCAGGGTAGGTGTGAAAGACACGTGTCCCCATTGTGAAGGGCCTGTCAGGCAGGACAAAGCAGCCGCCCACCATCCCCCCCCTCGCCCCACAGCCCAGCCTGGGGTCACCTCCAGGGGGCCGGCTTGGCGTGGAGGTCACTATAGGCCCGAGCTTTGGTGACTTAGGGAAAGAGCGCTGAGAGACTGAGCAAAGGCCACGTGATGTGTAAAAGGGGGTTTGAGAAAAAAACGCACCCTCCCCCTCCCCCATTGAGAAACTGCAGTCACCTCCTTCACCCCACAGGCGGGGAGTTCGGGGTGATGAGACCCTTTTCCCAGTGGGCACAGTAAGCAAAGCATCCCCTACCCGCTCCTCCGGCGCACCCCCCCACCCCCCATCAATCACCAACACAGAGAAACGCAGTGTCGAGCGCAGTGGGTTTTAGTGGTTTTCTTTAATCCTGGTCTGCACTTCTTTCTCATTTACTACACGGGATATTATAAAGAATAAATAGCAGATACTCTTAATTTACAATGATTAGTCATTCCATTTGTTCTCTATATTTACAATAACTGTAAAATAACATTGAACTCTATAGCTTCTTCGAGGTCCAAGGAAAAATCAAAACACTTTCCGAAGAATGGAAAATAGCTTTTAAAAAGTCCTTCTACAAAAGTTCCCCTCTCTTTGTACTTTAAGAAAAAAAATAACTTTCCCCCCTGCTTCGCCATGCGAAGGGCATTGGAATATAAATAGCAGGTTAACATTATTAGCAACAACCAGAATAAGTCTCTCTTTTCTCTGTTCTTTTTTTTTTAACTTTTGCTTATTTTTTTTAAAAATACAGTAGAAGCCGGTAACTTTTAACGTATAATACTGACCTTTTAATAAGTAAATTAAAACTGGGACCGTATATACACACACATATACATTCCTACATAGTTAAACAGTGCATTGCATCAACCAGAAAGCTAGGTCTCTGTAGCCAGAAAAAAAAAAAAAAAAAAAAAAAGGTTCATCGAAAACCCTCGCTAAAGGGTGGTGAATCTGGTTGGAGGCGATGTGGGGGGCGTCGGTGGGGATCCGTCAAGTGTCCGGGTGCGGGCAGGGGACCCCTCCCCCGAGTTCTAGCACGAGCACTTGCACTCGGAAATGATGGGGTACTGGATGGGAATCCAGCCGCAGCGCTGGCCCCCGCGCCGCTGACAGCGCCACCGCAGCACGGTGAGGTGCACGGACTTGGACGGCTTGCAAAGCATGCCCTCGGGAACGGAGCACGAGCGCTTGCTGAAGCAGCTGCCCACCTTCACGTAGCGCGGCCAGAAGCGGCTGCCCAGGTCGTTCCAGGCGTACAGCACGGGGCAGAAGGTCTGGGACCACAGCCACATCTGTAACTTCCTCCGCAGCTTCTTGCTCAGGCGCTGCTTCTTGCCCTGGGCCAAGCCCTCCGAGAACTCCAGCCCTTTGATCTCGCTCGGCATGGCCCCCGACGGCCGCTGCCGCAGCAGCTGGTCCAGCTCGGCCAGGTCCTCGGCGCCCCCGGCTGCGCCTCCACCCCCGCCGGGCCGGTCCTCGGGGGGCGAGGTGGCCATGAAGCCCGGGTCGTAGTGGCCCCCGAGCAGCGAGCGCAGCAGCGTCTCGTTCAGATCCTTCTCCTTGGGGTCGAAGATAGGGTCCGGGTGTTCGATGAGGTCCACCAGGGGCAGGTTGTCGCTGGGAGCCGGGCGGATGTGGAGGTAGTGTTGGCCGCCGGCCGGCGCGGCGCGCAGCCCCAGGACCACCACCAAGGCGTAGAGGGTGACCCCCAGGCCGGGGCCGCGCTCCATGCCTCCGGCGCGCGCCCGGGGCTGCCGCTGCGTCCCGCGTCCCTCCGGAGACGGCTCAGCCGAGGCGGGGCAGGCGCAGGGCCGGCCGCATGAGCCGCGGGGAGAAGCCCTTTGCGCGGCGCCGGCTCCCACCGGGGCGGAACGCAGGCGCCCAAGAGAGTTGGCTGCGACTCCTCGTCCGGGTCTACGCGGAAAGTCGGCCGCGGCGCGGCATCTGAAATCCCTCCAGGGCGACCGCGGGGCGCTGGGGGCGCCGGCTGTTCTCTGCGTTCTAGGGCCGGCGGCGGCGCGGGGCGCGGGGCGCAGGGCGCGGGGCCGAGCCGCTCTGCGCCCTCCTCCTCCTTCTCCGTCGCCTCCTCCGCGCGCGGCGCCTCGTACTGCAGCTCCGCGCGGCACGGCCCGAGCTGCTCCGGCTCTGCCTCTCCCTGCGCCTCTCCCGGCTCCGCGGCCGGCGCTGCCCGGCGGACTCCAGCAGCGGCGGCGGCGGCGGCGGCGGTGGCGGCGGCGTCCGCGCACGTTGGCACCGGTTTGTCTGTCTCGCAAGGTCCAAGCCTTTAAATTTCCTGCACTTTCAGCTCCATCACCATGGAAACCACTGACTCTCTCGGCGTTGCCCCCTCCCCCTCCTTCCCCCCAAACAACAACCCCACCCCCCACTTCTCCACCCCCGAACGGCCGGGGCGGCACAGGCTCTGGGGAAGCCGCCTGCACTCGCGGCGGCGGCGGCGGCGGCGGCGGCGGCGGCGGCCTCGGCAGCGCCCAGGGCTGCGCCCGCCGGACCCAGATGCCCTGGGAGGCCGACAGCCCGGCTGCCCGCCGGGGCTCCCAGGCGGCGGCGGCGGCGACGGCGGCAGCGGTGGCGCTTGGCAGGTCTCCGCGCAATTTTCTCTCTCCCCCACCACCCACCCCCCTTCTCCTCCTCCTGCAAAACGCACCGCCCCCCTCCTTTCTCCTGGAGCAATGCGACTGGGGCTCTAGGCGCCCCGCCAGGGCCCGTCCCAGGGAAAGCTCGCGGCGGCGCTGGAGCCCGGCTGGAGGGTGCAGGGCCGGTGTCGGGGGGCGGCCGAGGTGGGGCTGCAGGGCGAATCTCACTCGCCGGGTGCTTTGCACGGGGAAGGGCGCGGCGGGGAGGAGCCGGGGGCTAGCTTCTCAGCGCGGTTGGGAGCAAGAAATTTCTCCGTGTGTGTGGAGCGTTTTCCCGGGTGCGTGTCGTCTTCCTCTCTCCCGGGCTTGGTCTAGGTGCTCTCTCCCCCAGACGCGCGCGCGCACACACACACACACACACACCACGCAGCCCCCCCCCCCAACACACACACACTACGCGCCCGGGGAGTCCAAGAGCCGCAGCATTGCGCAGCGTGATGTAATTCCTAGGAAGCACTCCTGTCCGTCTGCCCCCCGAGTCCGCGGGGGTTCCTCTCTTCACCCTCTTCCTCCTTCCTGGCCGGGACCTGCACCCTGAGTGGCCGACTCGCAGGGGCGCGTCCGGCTTGCCCGCGGCTCCACTTGGCCCGCCCGGCTTCGCGCTGCCGCCGCTCAGCTCCCTGAGGGCGGCGCGCCCTCTGCTGGCCACCTGCGATCTCTACCCTTGGCGCGGACAGTGGGGGGCGGCCCAGAGAGGTGGGTTTGTCTGCCACCTTCTCTGCTGGGCTCTGTTTTTACTCCTGTAGCCCTGTCATGTGTGTGTCTGCGTGTACTGACTTGGTATGTTTTTTAGAAGCTCTCCTGATCTTGAGTGTAAAACTTCCTGGGATTCCTAAGTCCCTCACATTTCACAAGAAAAAGAGCTAGACTCCGGGGTGAAGGGGAGCCCAGAAACTGAAAGATGGACTGTCCCTCAGAGACCTGAGTCCTGGCTGCGTTCCCTCCTGATTTAATAACTGTGTTGACCTTGGGCAAGTCACTTTTGTGGTACTGTAAACGTTTCTGAATTAGTCACAGTACTGCGTTTCTTTACCGAGCCTGCCTCTCTTCCATTCTAAATAACCCTGAGAGATGCTTTCTCTTTCAGAAGCAGTTTCACTTTGAAGGGCGATGGGGACTGCAATGACACCTCCAGTTCGTTTTCCCGTGCACAGAGAGCAGAAGCCAAGGTTCAGAGCCCAAACTCAATTTCCTTTGTGGTGGACGTGATTGGAATCTGGAAAGAGCAGGAGAAGAGACTTGGCGTGCTTGATTCAGGCTTCACCAGGGTCTCCATAAGCGCCACTTGAGAGGTTTCAGTGTGACAGCCTCAGGCATCCTACTTCCTTTACTGAAAGATCTGGTTTTCTCTTTCAGCCTGACCTCCACGCCCAAGGACCAGATCATCAGCCTAAGGAAGAAGACAGTGTCGCATAATAGAGTCCTTCTACCAAACCTCAGCAACCCAGTTAAGAGGGATGGCCAATTTCAGCTGAAAACAGTTCTCTGTCTCTGTCTCTATCTCTCTGTCTCTCTCTCTCTCTCTCTCTCTCTCTCTCTCTCTCTGTCCATCTCTCTCAAAACAGGGTCTCTCTGTGTAGTTCAGGCTGGCCTTGATGTCACTATTTTGGGAGGAGGAGTTGAACTCAGAACCTCAAACTTGCCAGGCAGGAGCTGCACCACTGAGCTAAACCCTCAGTCCCTCAAATTCACTGTGTAGCCCAGGCTGACCTCGAACTAACAATGGTCCTCCTGCCTCAGCCTCTGAAGTGCTGGAATTAAAGATGTGCTCCACCATGCCCTTCTCTCCATTTTCAAATTTAGACAGTAAGCAGACTAATCAAGGGACTGGCCCAAAGGAAACCTTGGTTTGCTGAGCACTGGAGATAAGAACAACCCATTGGTTATTTGAATTGTGTGGCTTCTCACGTAATGTGATTGGTAGGCTCTTCAAACACACTTCTTTTTGATGTGCTTTGTGGGGGCAGGGCATTAGTTTGTTGTCCTATGAAGATTAAATGTTCCAGAGCAATTTTGTTCCTGCTGTGAATTAATAAAGAAAATAATTTTCCAGTACAGAGTTCAAAGGCTAAATTCTAGCTCAGCACTCTTTGGACAGTAGGTTCTAGTTAGCGACCCTGCACTGTGCTGTCTGTCTGTTCTCCAAAGCACTTGTCTTTGCTTGAAAACTAACCCAGATCCTTCAATTCTTTATTTGGACTGAAAGATTTGACTCAACAACAACAAAAACAAAACAGAAATGAAAACCAAAACATGTGCAAGAATGGACTCGGGAGCAGTTTATGAATGGTCTACTGGGTAAGGACGAAGTAGGGAGATGAGAGACAGACAGACAGAGAGACAGAGACAGAGAAACAGAGACAGAGAGGGAGACAGGGCCAGAGAAACAGAGACAGAGAGACACAGAAAGAGAGACAGAAATAGAGAGAGAGACAGACAGGGAGACAGAGACAGAGAGAGACGGAGACAGAGGCAGAGAGACAGCAAGAGAGAGAGACACACACACGCAGAAAGAGACAGAGACAGACAGAGAGAGAGAGAGAGTTCATAGTTGTTTTCCACCCCCCAAGACTTTTGCAGTCCCTTGAGAGAAAGATGAGAAGCATAAAAAGAAATTAAAAGGGGATGGTAAAACCCATAAACTCCCATGAAAGTATAGATTAATGCTAGACACTTTTAAAAATCCTCTTTTGAAAATATAACCACTTCGTGCTCTTCTTTGAATGTTGTTTGATATTTCATATTTCATAATATGATGAACTACCCACAAGAAGTCAAAGCAATTACACGCTGGACTTTTCTCGAAGCACGCCTACCCGTCTTCCCTGTGAGGTCCTGGATATCACACCTGGGGAGCCCTCGCCCTCACTTATGCATCATGTTGGGGTAACCCATGCCCTTAGGTATCTGGTATATCCAGGAATATTGGAATCAGAGTGTAAACAGAACCCATACTCACTGGTAGAGCTGAGGTTCAGCTGAGCACAGTGAAGTCACAGGGTGCATTTATCTGAGTAGGGAGAGCAGGAAGAGGGAACCACGTGGGATGAGGAGTAGACAGAAGATCTGCAGAGTTGCCAAGTAAAAGCAGAGATGCAGGACACAGGAAAGCTCAGTAAGCAGGTGACTTTTGTATCGGGTGGAGCCAGGTTGGAATCTTGGCCCTGCCACTCACAAGCTGCGTTCCCATCTTTATGCAGGCATCATAACCACCACAAGCTTCCATTTTTCACCTGTCAGAACTGTGCCCTAGAAAGGAGATAAAGCATGTCTAGCCGAGTACATGTCTGGGGCCAAGCATATACTGAGCAAATACCTTTCAACACTTGTTAGTTTTTTGGAGAAGCCCGCTGTCCTCAACGTGGCAACCATCTCTGATCTGAGCGAAGGAGAGTGGGATGGTGGGAAATGCTGCTGGAATCAACCCCAACACCCATGGGTCTCCTTTCTGCCCATTTAGCACGAGCAGCTGAATTGGTCCTTCTGGGGTGTGGCTGTGAGAAACTTCAGTTTCTTGGGGGATTCAGTAACCAGGTGATTTCAGTGATTCTGCAGCACTTTATTTTTTGTCCTGGGGATCAGTCCCAGGGCCTCACTCTTGCTCGGTACCGCTATAATCCCAACCCCTCTGAGGCTATAATTGAAGGAACTTGATAAGCTGCGCAAAGAGGGTTGGAGTTTGCATTTCTTCAAAAGGCAGTTGTGAAGCTGAAGATGGGCCAAAAATGGAGGATGGAGAGGTGGAGGGGTAGAGAGATGGAGGGATGGAGAGGTGGAGGGGTGGAGAGATGGAGGGATGGAGAGGTGGAGGGGTGGAGAGATGGAGGGATGGAGAGGTGGAGGGGTGGAGAGGTGGAGGGGTGGAGAGATGGAGGGATAGAAGGGTAGAGGGATGGAGGGGTGGCAGCTGGCTCAGCCTTTGATCAGGCTCTCACTGAGGTTGGACTTCAGTGACTGGGGACTTGGGCTTCAGGAGTCCCCCGGAAGCCTACTGGAATGCTGGCAGCATGGATCTGTCTTAGCTGTCCCCTGTGCAGGTGTCTGTTCCTGTGAAGTACTCTGGCAAGGAAAATTGAAGCAATCCTTCAAGATGCTCGGGCAACTCTGGGTCAAGGCAAGAGGAGCCCGAATGTCGTTTATGCATCTTTCTTATGTCCATTATGATTCTGACAATAATTGAGCAATCTTCTGATTCTTTGGCCCTGAAAATGTAGGCCCAAATTGGCGAGGATGATGTGCAAAGGGCATGGGGCTTAATGCCAGCAAACTTGCAACCTACTAGTTGGTTGTTGTAGCCTCAGGTGACTCATCCCTGACCCCAAAAGATCAGTGGACAATGAGACACCATAAAGCCATGAGAAGAATGAGAATTGCCTGCTTTCACATCCAGCACCATCCCACGTGTATGAAAATCCTCACTTTTGGTTCCTTCACTATCTCTTGGGTCCCCTAAGGGTAATATCTGATGGGCTTTCTCTTACTGAAACCCTAAGTAGCATTACTGTACTGGGCTAGTTCCAAATTAGCGAAGGAGGAAGAGTTGGCCATGAAGCTTAACCCTTCCTCTTCTGACTGCCAGAAGAAGCTGAGGGTGGAGATGGTCCGAAGGGCCTGGGGGAGAGGGCCCCCTAGCCAGGTCAGGCTTCAGGGCAAGGGGTGATACCCGGCTCAGCTCTAGACTGC